ATCAGCGGAAAATAAGGAGAATAAGAATAAATACCTCGTAGATATCCTGTGAGGATCAAGTGAGTTAATTGATAGCATTGCTTAAAACAGACCACAGCACAGAACAAGTTGCTAATCGATGTTAGCTTTCATAATGGTGATGAAGATGATGGTAATTAAAATGGGGATACTGGTGATGGTGATGGTGTTGCTGCTGACAATAAAGACGGAAAATCAGGAGATCTCACACACTAAAGAAGAGATGGGTCACCTGGGGTAAATCTATGAGCTTCTTGGTGCTGTTCCATTACCTGTAAAATAAACAAGCTGAGTTCTGTTAGTTAGAGAACAATCTAAGAGGATACTTTTTTTAAAGCAGCTAACTGCAAATATTTGTATTAGGAGTTTTCTACATTAAAAAATGAATCAAAGGACAAATTAGATAGTTTTTTGGAGTTTTTTTAAGATTTTATTTATTTATTTGAGAGGAAGAATGAGAGAATGAGGAGGGGGGAGGCAGGAGGGTAAAGCAGAGCCCCCTGCTGATCAGGGAACCTGATGTGGGGCTTGTCCCAGGAGGAATCATGACCTGAGCTGAAGTCAGATGCTTCACCAACTGAGCAACCCAGGTGCACCAAGGTAGTTTTTCAAAAAACAAAAACAAAAAAATCTGCTACCTAAAAGATCTCTAACTTTGTTTTGTTTTTACAGGTTCCGGCAAAAAGTACAATCCTGCTCCTATGGTTATTGCTTGTCTCTTCTTTTTAACCAGTGTTGTCATCTCTTCCAAAAATGGAGTATAAATGAAACTTGTGGTTTTGCTTTTGCTGTGCCCTTTTGCTTGATGCCAGCCAGGGCACCCTGAATACCCTTGGGGACTCACTCTGCCTGGTTATCGACTGATACAGCGCTGGCTCAGCCTACTGCCTGTGAGTGGACCTAGAACTCAGTGTATTTCTTCTTCATGGACACAGATTTATCCTGGGATAGAAAAGGACCCAATCAAAGCTGATGAGATACAGTCATGGTAATTTTTTGGAATTCGGATCGGTAATGGGGTGGGGGCCTTTTTACTCAATGAAGATTAATGAAAGCAGAGTATGAGTCTACAGTTGCTGGCAGCTATCTTGCCACCAGTAGGGGAAACTCTATCTCCTTGAGAATAGAGTGAACACAATGAAGGAAGAACTAAAAAATGAAAAGAAACAGTTCTGATAAGAATATATGAGCCCCTAGATCCAACTATGCCTGAGTCGGAATCCTGGGCTTTTTTTATTACATAAATCAATAAATTTTATATTTTCATAAGTAATTTGAATTAAATTTCCTATCTCAAGTGATCAAAGGACTTTTTGGAGTTATGAATACAAGGATTCTCCATTATTTTTATTAGCCATCCTAAATGGGAACAAATTGAGAAGCTTGAGTTCGAAAGCACAGAACAAATTCTTCATCAAATGGAAAAGCTTTGAACCCCAGAGAAATAATTAAAGCAAATTTTCTTCAGAGATTTTTTAATCAGCATTCAAAGCCAAGCCAGTGTAGTCTCAAATAGGAGGAAATATGAAAACTTGAGAAATAAAAGGGAAGTTAATAAAAGATGTTAGTGAAATCTCATTCACTGGCAGTAATGGGATGCCACACCTATTTCTACAGTATTACAAAATTTAGAATTTAAATTCATATGTTAATTTACAGAGGGACTTTATGGCAAATTGGATTTTAAGTCATCTTCAAAACTTTAGGTACATTTATTAGGAAAGCACATGGATGTGTGTGGATTTAAAGGAGAAGATATGGAAGAAAAAAATCTGATAACCAAGCAAATATCAAAGATATATCAAGTCCCCACTATGTGACAACAATTAAACAAAAGGAAGTATAAATCACCAAACCTCACATCTGGGAATATTCTCTTACTTCCCTCAGGGAGTGACGGGGGTTGTTCTCCTGATTTCCAAAGACCCTGGTATTGGGCTAAATGGAGTAAAGGGGGAGACTAGCTCTATCCTTTGAGTTATGAAAGTCTATGCTACTTACCCCCCCCCGAGATTTGAGTAATAAACAATAAACAATGTCAGTTAATCTGACCCCATTAGGAATGTCTAAAGGGATGGTGTCTTGACAGAAGAGACACAATGGGGAGTTAGCTGCATAAAATCACCCAGTAGAGAATTTAGGCATCTAGTACTGTCATTCTTTACATGGCATTTTGAGAACAGGGCCAAGGGCATCTCTATCATCTAGCTTACATTGGCCTCTACACCAAATAAGGCAAGCATATAATTTCCATAGACACAGTTTACATGATTTATTGCCCAGGGACCTTGGCAAGTTAGTGGCTCCTGAGTAGAGAATTCTGTGGGCCTGGCTCTGGGAACAAGCTTTGCTCTGAGCCTTAGTGAGGCAGAGAAAAGCCTCCCAACATCTTGCATATTTTGTTTCTGTGCCATATAAATGCACTTATTGAGCCAGACTATGTACAAAACACTTTGGGGATGAAATGTTGAATATAATATGCCAGATCTTCCAAGAGTTTACAGTCTCTTGGGAGAGATTAAGAACACAAACAAGTCACAGAGGAATACCAAAAGAAAGGGGCAAGTCAAGTTTTCTGTTCACAAAAGTTCAAGAGAGAAACTCCTGAGGCAAGGGAAGAACCAATAAGGCTTCAGGGAAGAGGCAGCATTTGAGCAAGGCCTTGGGACACAGAGGTGGGAGCGAGAGATGAGAGGAAGAAGACAGTGAGTGTAGGTATGTGTCAAACGCTTAGAGCCAAAATGCATACAAATAGTAAGTACTTCAAATTTAGAGAAAAGTGAGATCCCACTGTCCTATGGTTGGAAACAGCTTTCTATGGGAAATGAGGCTCAAGGGAAGGCTTCAGAGGGAAAAGAGAGAGCTGAGTAGAAAGGAGACAGAGGATATAGGAATGATCAATGTACATAAGGGTCAGGAAATAGGTGTGACAGAGTGAAGCTGTAATGTGGACTGGAGAGGAAATTGCCACCCAAGCTAAAAAGTCAACCTAATGCATTGGATCTTCATGAGAAATCTATTTTCTGAGTAAGACATTCTAGATAAATGACTCTTACAGCCACACCATCAGTGTCCCTTAAGAACTTGTTAGAAATGTGAACTCTGGAGCCTGATCCCAAATCCGTAGAATCAGAAACCCAGGACCTGTGTTTAAGAAGCCCTTCAGGCTTATGACTTATGGGATTATGATCCATAAAGGAATAACCAGGTTTTTGAAAAGATAACTTAATTCTTCCTCCTGCTGCTGCTTTATAGGGCAAATCTCCAGAGATAGAAGTTATTCTCTTGAGTGGTATAGATTTGTGGGTTGAGGATGAATATGCATATTTTACATTCCCTCAATCTCTCCCTATAGTCCTAAATTTTTGTGCAAGTAGCCAGTGAAATGGACATTTATTTAAATCAATTCAAAGTTCATGAAATCTTAGGAGATGAGTTTCAAAAAAAATTCACTGTAATTTCTGCTTTTAGTCTGAGATATCTTTGAAGATAAAATGGATAAATTCACATGGATTGCTAAAAGGGCTGACACTAAAGTTGCATAGTATTTATCTCCTATAGTAACTTTTATTAATGCTTCTCCCTTCTTGTGCACATGAAAAAATAATCTGACTTCACTTGTTTTATTTTTATTTTTATGATTCAGTGTTCTTTTTTAAAAAAAGATTTTATTTATTTATTCATAAGAGACACAGAGAGAGAGGCAGAGACACAGGCAGAGGGAGAAGCAGGCTCCATGCAGGGAGCCCGATGCGGGACTTGATTCCAGGACTCTGGGATCAGGCCCTGAGCCAAAGGCAGATGCTCAACCACAGAGCCACTCAGGTGTCCCTTTGATTCAGTGTTCTAATATGCCTACCTGATTGTCCCAAAGTTCCCTATTTGCTCTCACTTTAAAAAATAATAAATCCAGGGATCCCTGGGTGGCGTAGTGGTTTGGCACCTGCCTTTGGCCCAGGGCGCAATCCTGGAGACCCGGGATCGAATCCCACGTCGGGCTCCCGGTGCATGGAGCCTGCTTCTCCCTCTGCCTGTGTCTCTGCCTCTCTCTCTCTCTCTCTCTGTGACTATCTTAAATAAATAAAAAAATAAAAATAATAATAATAATAATAATAATAATAATAATAAATCCAGTGAAAGAAAATTCCTATAGAGCTTGATTTGCTTAGAGAGCCAGGACTCTTGGCCTGAGTTGTCCAATGATCTGAATCAAATTGAATTATAGTTTATGAACCAGATCTTCATTTGGTAAAATTGAACATTTATTGAGCTAGATGCTTTCAGAGATGCCAACATGTACCAAACATTGGCAAGTGATAGAACATGGGAAAAAAAGGTATTACAAGCATTACAGGACTCCCTCACTGGCTTCCTTATCTTCTTGTAGTAAATGCCCATGTGTTTTTTATTTTGCTTTATGGCAGTTCACTTTTTCTTCCTCACTTATGCTTCATTCAAGCAGTGAGGTCACACTGTGCTCGCAGAGGAGGAATGAAACTAGATAGAAAGTAGAAACTAGTGAGCCTTCCCCCAGGTTGCTTTTCAAAACCTGAAGGAATTGAGAGCAACGAGAAGAACCCAAAATAAAGAATCTGAAAGACACATGCAATAAGAGTAATAGGTTTGAGAAGAGTGCATTCCCCCCCCCAAACCCCCAGTATATCCACCGGCTGGAAGCAACAGCAGACAGGCAGTCATCAGAGTGGGCAGATTAGAAGTCCTTGGTGGTGAGACAAGGCCTTTGAGAGGCCCTGTCAGTGATGGCCAGCTTCACAGGAGCCACCTGCCTCCGAAAACCCCTGCTGTGACTGAAGTATGCATGGCCCTTCCTAACCTCACAGGGCTATACTAGCTGCCATTCCCATTGAAGTGTGGTGAAGACCCCCCCCCCACTTGAACTGCCACTAGTCATGCTTCCTGTCATTTCGTAGGAAGACTCTGCCCAGGACTATTCCTGGCCCTTGTCCCATTCATTTCCAGATCACTCCCCCAGCTGTTGCAATATCCCTGGACAGTCTGACGACCAATAGCAGGAAAGTGAGGACCTGAACACACACAGGTTCAGAGAAAGTAACAAAGCGAGAGCTCCACCTCCCTTCTCCCACTTATATACGTTTATTTTTGAGGACAGAGTAGCAAATGAATCAGAGCTCAAGAATGTCCTCAAAATAAGCCAGCTAGAGGATCACCTGGGTGGCTCAGTGGCTGAGCACCTGCCTTAGGCTCAGAGCGTGATCCTGTGGTCCTGGGATCAAGTCCTACATCAGGACTATGTCTGCCCGTGTCTCTGCCTTTCTCTCCATGTCTCTTATGAATAAATAAATACAATCTTAAAAAAATAATAAGCCATCTACTAATGGATACCTATTTCAAATGCGCAAGGTTTCAGCTTTGGAGCTGAGAGATAATGTAGAGTTCACGTCTTGATACTCATCCTTTTCTCAAGCCCTCTAAGTCCTGAAACTGTCAAATCCCCTTGGCTCTTGCCACAGGACATTCTGAAGGTCTTCCTGTTTAGGGGGCAAGGAAGAGATTCCTAATTCAAAATTATAGTGGTGATTCCAATGACAGCCTTGGCTTTGGAAGCTGAGCTCCTAACTCAGGCTAGCAAAAATGCAACTTCAAAGTATCCACAACTGAGGAGGTCATGGTGGCAACCTTGGTGGATGTGACTGCATCGCAGACTTAAAAGTACAGAAACAGAGTGTATTCTTCCCCCACTCCATCAAATGCTCACAGTTTTTTTTTCTCTTTCAGTTTTTCATATTTCAGCCTAGTTTTTAAGTGTAGGGAAATATGTTTTATTTGTAGAGGAGAAAATGAGATTTCAAACTTGAGATGAGAACATGTTTGAATGAGGACAAACCTTAGGTATTCTCAGAAGAAAAATTCCAAGAAAGAACTAGAGTTATTCATTGCTTTTTAAAATTCTCAACAAAGTTCCTGTTAGGTGTCATGTAGAATAGGGCCATCTTGAAAGCATACACTCTTTCCCATGGATAAGGGCCAAAGACCTTCTGGTAGGCAAGGGATTTGTCTAACCTTCCTTCCCCAATACAAGCACATCTCAGAAATCCTACTTCTATGAGTGTTACAGTCTTTTCTTTGTGAAAGGTTAGAGCACCTCCATTTTTGAAACTCCAATAGCTCCTAATTATAACACCTCAATAGGAGACAGACAAGAATAAACCATTTGCCCTGGTCTTATCCAAGTAAGAAAACTATTACTCTTCATTGATTGTTCTTATTTACTCCTGGATAAGTCATACCAAAAGAATCTAGTGATGGCTTATGATAGGTAAGGCACTGATGATACAGAGATTGGTATATGAGTGACAAAAATGCAGAAGGTAGGGGCACCTGGGTGGCTCAGATGGTTAAGCATCTGCCTTCAGCTCAGGTCATGATCTCAGGGTCCTGGGATTGAGCCCCACAGCAGGCTCCCTGCTCAGTAGGGAGTCTGCTTCTGCCTATGCCACTACCCCTGCTCATTCTTTCTCTCTCTCTCAATTAAACAAAATCTTTTTAAAAATGCCGAAAATTACTTTATATGTTTCCTGTGCCTGAACAGTAGTTTCTGCCAGATTATCTAATGATAATGTTTACATTTACCTGGACTTCTCACTGTAGTATCTAGAAATAGGACTACTAAGAGTAGAAATTAGTTTAGGGTTATTTTAATTATGCTTTAAGATGATATGTAATGTTTAGAGACATCCTCAAATGTAATACATTTCCTTGATGTTCTGAACAATATGTTATTTTTAGTAACTGCCATTTCAAGTAGGTTTTCTTTGATTATTTTTATTTGAATAAAGCAAAACTTGAGGTAAATGGTCTACTGGGTGACTACTCTTTGTACTTCTGTCCTAACATAACTCATTTGTGGCATCAAAGGTCTTAAAACATACTCCAAATATTCACAGGATACAAAATGATTTTCTGACAGAAATGAGCAGTTCTGTTGCACTCCTACTAGTAATTGGCTTTCTTGGGCACAGAAACCTTGGTTTCCATAGTATTTATGGCTTTTTGGAGGACTTCTAAGATTGGCGCTACTGTTTTGACAACTTCCTCCAACTGAACTGCAATTGACTTGATGGTATTCTTGGAATCCTCAGTTTCTAGCACATCCTGCAATTTTTTCAAGATGTCTATTGTACCAATTTTGGATGGACCCGGACTTGTGTTTTTCTTGGATGTGTTGGCATCTGATTGCTCTTTGGTGTCTTTTCTATAGAGGTCACCTAACTGAAGATTCATGACGGGATATTTCATCAAGAGTGAAAGAGAAGATTCCAAAATCCCAAGGATGTTGCTACTATTCAATGCAGAGACAATGACTGGTGTTTGAACAGTTTTGAACACTTCTTTAGCCGACTGCTGCAACTCCTTTACATTGGTGGTATTCTCAACCATAGAGCAAACAGCTGTTGCAATCTTGGAATATAAAGGTTCCTTTTGCATTTGGTCATACTTTGTCTCCACTACAGATTGCATCTCTTTAAAAATTTTGAACATTTGTTCAAAGACATCCTTGGCATTATCATCTTCTTTCACAGTCATGGACTGGATCTGAGTATTCATAGTGCTGTTAAACAATTCAATAAGCATGTTAGTGAAGGCAGCAAGATCTTGCATGTGAAGGAAAAATGTTTTGGCAGCTTGAACCAGCCTCTCTTTATCCTCTTCTGATTCTGAAGACATTTCTCCAACAAAAATGTTTCAGTACTGCAAAATAGAGTAGTAATAAAGATGAAAACTTAAATTATATTTGTCAGCCATAAAGAGATTGACAGTATAATCTAACTGTGAAATTAACTACCGTCAAGGGTAGGAAAGCCACACAGGCTATAAAGCAGAAATGATCCCGTGCTTTAATAAAAATAACAACAAAAATAACTAAAAGACAGAATAGGGATGTTTCAAAGAATTTAAGCCACATATCAGATTTTGGATGGTACTGGATTCTCAATTGGATATGCTGATATTTTCTTAGGTATCACCCTAAATAACTATCCAATCTGGTGGAAAAGATTGTATACGGCTTAAAACTTACATAGAAAGGCTCTGGTTCCTGTTAAGACAGAGCAAGCACACTGAGTACAACCAAAAATCCTGAACTGAATATATAAAGTAATTCTCAGATATCTGAAAGGTGGGTAACAGCAGACCAAAAGGATAAAATACAACACTTCAAGATGATCAAGGCCATCTGATGCAGACTCCCAAGATCTCTGTCTTGCCTAAGAATGTATCTGTACTTTCACTGTAACTCACCCTCTTCTGCTATAGAGGAGAGTGTTGACGTCTCTAACCAATGTTCACAAGTAGAAGTCTGGGGGAGATACAAAAAGATAGGATTGTGAACATTGATCCAGGGATCCCGAACTAGCAATTTGCAGGCAAAGTCCGACCAGCAGATGTATTTTGTTTGAAAACAAAACCTCCAAAGATTTAGTGTTGCCTAGAGAATAAAATACAATTTCCTGGCATGGCATTTAAGGTAATCTACAAACTGCTCTTAATTTTCCACTAGTTCCCTTCCCTTCACTGCATTCACATATATCCTGGGCCACTAGCATAGTGGATTAATTTTGTTCCCTGAAAATGCTCTACAACATTAGCTCCTTTGTTCACAGTATTCCCTCCACCTGCGTTAACTCCTCCCTGCCCTACTACCTACACACCTATTGAAATCCTACTTATCCATCCACACACTCTTCTTCCCTTTTTTCCTCTGTGCCCATACACAGTAAGCCCAAGATATGTCAATTGCAAAATGACACACTGGGCCAAAGTAAAGTAACACCCCACTTGGTCCTCCTTTAAAACTATAGAGCAGGGGATCCCTGGGTGGCTCGGTGGTTTGGCGCCTGCCTTTGGCCCAGGGTGCGATCCTGGAGTCCCAGGATCGAGTCCCGCGTCGGGCTTCCGGCATGGAGCCTGCTTCTCCCTCCTCCTGTGTCTCTGCCTCTCTCTCTCTCTCTCTCTCTCTCTCTCTCTCTCTGTCTATCATAAATAAATAAAAATAAATAAGTATTTAAAAAATAAAATAAAACTATAGAGCAGAACTTTAGATTTTACACATCTCCTAGCTGATGTCCCCGTTCTGAATCCTCTACTCACCCATTAACAATAGAAATTATTGTTATTAATGTAAGAAGAATGGCTACCATTCAGTAAGTTTTTGCCATATATTAAGCACTATCTCAAATGCTTTACATGCATTATCTCACTTGATCCATATGACAATCCATAAATTACAAACTAATATATCACACCAATTAAAAAATGAGATTAAGAGACTTTCCCAGGGCTACATGGCTAGAGAGTGATTATTTTGGGGGCACACAAAATAAGGACTGTCCAACTCTAAAACCTTTGTGTTTTTTCCATTAAAGTTTTATGGGGACTGGGTGATCTTCCTGCTTCTGAGATGTCCCCGCTGTAGATGAAACAATGGGGATGAGAACAGAATCTAGAAGGAGAAGCATGGAAGACTCTAAGCTTTAAGAGAAAGAAGTTGATCTATAAGGCATTCCTATTGTCAGGGCATTCACCAACACAATAAGAGATGGTGATAAAGAGAAGAACTAGCCAGGAAAGAAGAGCACACACACAAAAACTGCATTTGGCTACAAATAATCTGGATTTCTATCTCTTTCAAGAAGGTAAACAAAGGCATCAGCAACAGATGTAGTATAAATGCAATAGAAACTAGAAGGAAACTTAATATCTGGAATAGCTAACAAGACAGAATGCCAGAAGCTGAGAGCTGCAATCAAAGAGCCATCTTCTCCGCTGAACTGAATTAGCTCAGTTGTACAGCACTTTTCAACAATTAACGTCCATGAAAGAACAGAAAATTAAATGTTTTACCGTGTTATTAGTTTTTCAAATTAGACTGTTTCATACATACTTATTTTATATTAATATAGGAAACAGAAGAATTCTGAGAACTAGGAATGCAGAAGTACTCTATAAACCAGACAGGCAGAGGGACCCAGCAGAGACTAGCAAAGGCTGTAAGTCATCACATTCCATGGAAACACCCAGATGAAACCAGATGAGAAAGCTCTTCAACAATGCTCCTAAACCAACTGCTGGGACTACTGAACTCAGAAACACGGCAAGGTAAGCAATGTGGATATTTCTACTTGTATTGATATGATAATTCTGTTTCTCTGGATTAAAGGGTATTTGAGGAAACATGTTAATCTTCAATCCTAGCCATAAATGTGATAAAGTCACAAAATGCTTTTTTAGGAGGGTCTGCTGGCTCTTCCTTGTAATTATTTACTTCTCTGAAGACACCAGATAAAGAAGAAAATTAACAGCTTATATGACTGATTAAGTCAGAGGGGAAGACGAAGCGGTAAAGATAGCAAATTTAGAAAGGATTAAGGACAAAATGACACCTGTGTACTGTTTACATGGATTGTAACATTTCTTTTTATGTCTCTAACATCAGTACAAGCACTCAGCATCAGTGAAAGAAATGTGCAATCTGATACTCACTAATTTATGGTGTTTCTGCTCCCTTATAAATTACATTACATTTAAATGTCGCCTGTCTCCAAATAGACTGTTATCTATCTACCTTGAGGGCAAGGTCAGGAATCTTCTTTAGAAGAACGTATATGAGAAAGAGTGTCATCACATCATTATCAACTTTTTGTTTTTGTTTTTTTTTTTTAATTAAAAGCCAGGGTTTTGATTTAAATTAAAGAAGACTCTCCGAACTAGTTAGTAGCTGTTATTTTCTTTTGAAAAGTTTCTGGTTTCATCTATTCTTTACCCCCAAACTCCCAAATAAGTGAACTTTGCAGGATAGCTGGACCCAACATGGATAGTGAGGATAGTGACAGCACAGAATAGCTTAAAACCTCAGAGAGCACTAATGACTAAACATTAGAGGCTGAGACATGTTTTCTTTGTCTCTCTTTCTTTAATTGTCACTATGGGAAAAGCTCAACAATACATAAAAGTGGAGATCATAATAAACTGTCATATACCCAGAACCCAGCTTCAAAAATTATGACAACAGGTTGATCTTATTTCCTCCCTAACCCTACTCCACACTCCCAGATTTTTTGGAAGCAAATCTCAGAGATCATGGGTATCATTTCATCATTGACCTATTCACCATGTATTTCTACAAAAGCAAAAACTCGTCTTTTTGAAATGTAACTTTGTGCTTCCCAAAATAACAGTACTCAATAGAACTGTCTTTGGCTTTGAAACACACATAGTGGGATCCCTGGTTGGCACAGCGGTTTGGCGCTTGCCTTTGGCCCAGGGCGCGATCCTGGAGACCCGGGATCGAATCCCACGTCGGGCTCCCGGTGCATGGAGCCTGCTTCTCCCTCTGCCTGTGTCTCTGCCTCTCTCTCTCTCTCTCTCTCTCTCTGTCTCTGTGACTATCATAAATAAATAAAAATTAAATATCAAGTACAGGGCAGCCCAGGTGGTTCAGCGGTTTAGCACCACCTTCAGCCTAGGGCCTGATCCTGGAGACCTGGGATTGAGTCCCCCGTTGGGCTCCCCGCATGGAGCCTGCTTCTCCCTCTGCCTCTCTCTGTGTCATAAATAAATAAGTAAGTAAGTAAATAAATAAATAAATAAATAAATAAATAAATAAATATCGAGTACATATTTAAGAGTAACAATTTGATAAGGGTACAAGTTATTAACCTTCCCAGATGACTGAATGTTTCCATATGGCGCTAGTGTTAATACATGTTAACTTGTGGGTTGTTTGAAATTTGAATTTGCACAAATCAACCACCAACCTTATAATTTCAAAGGACATTTTACTTTCAACTCAACATGTCATTTTAAGTCTGTCTCGACTACCTAACTAGATTAAAAATGCCATAAAAGCAGGGACCATGTCCTTTTCATTTTTGTGTGCTCCATAGAGCCCAGCATGCTATCTAATACATAGTAAGGGTCTAGTCCATTAGATAGATTGTTACTTAATTATTAAACTGTTTCCGTCACCAGGCTCTTCAAATTTCACGTGTCCAAAAATAATTCATTAGTTTCACCTTCAAATCCTACCTCTCCCCCACCTAATTCTCTAACATTTATCTCATCCTTGCGATGGAAATAATTTTGAACTGTATTCAGTACTGGAAAAGTATCAGGTGGCAGGCCTGCTGAAGATCTATTTGCATAAGGAATCTTCCCAAAGCCCTTCACCAAGAGAAAAGGAGCTAGGAAGGTAAGTCCAACTCAGAAAAATAAAAGTCCTTTTTCATTGATTTGAAAAGTAATTCAGAGCACATCATGATGTCTTACTCAAACTTGTTACTGGCACAGAATTATAGATTGATATCTGGAAACTGGGAAGAAGACTATAAAAGTGCATGTGTCAGGCCGTGGTTGGTTGCATAAAAGAAAGAAAATATAATTGAAAAAGGGCTGGGTCTTTGATTTGTGATCTTTGATTGAATTCTTTTCATCAATTTAATTAGCTACTATTCTTTTACTGTCTGGAGTTGTTTGCTCATTTAGCTATTAGATAACCACTGTTTTTCTTATTGATATCAATAGTCTTTAGAAATTCATACTTCATTTTTTTGTGTACCATTCCCAATTTCTTTTTAGTTCTTTTTACATGGTATGGTCATCTTGTTGGACCCGGGCTCACGGGTGCCAGCGTGTCCCGGTGGACGCCCCAGAGACTCAGACCCCAGACAGGCAGATGCAATCAGCAAGAGGGTTTATTGAGCATTTGCGCAAAGGGGCTCTCCGCCTCCGAGGGGGAAAAGAGCCCGGATTAGCAATTGCAGGGATCTTTTAGAGGCAAAAGGAAAGAAACCGCCTAAAGGCAAAAGAACCGCGGGAGTCGCAAGGCATCCAGGTTGATTTCACAGAGGGTCAACATGAACCTATTCAGGGACATTCCAATCAGGGTGTGGGGGGAAATGGTTTTCTTACTGTGAACAGAATGCTTTTAGTTGCTACAATGTCAGAAAGGCGCCTGGATGGGCTGCCTCTGGGTTAGGGCTGGCCCTACTTACAAGGGGGGAGGTTTCTTCAATCTTTGTTAGTCAAATTTTTGTGTGACTTTTTTCCTTTGGGTTTAAACTTATAAAGCCCTCCTCCATATAGACATTTGAAAATTATCCACTTTCTTCTGGCTGTTTTATCATTTTTTTTACAGACATTACACTAACTTCTTAAAATTAATTTTCACCCCCAAAACTAGCCCATTATGCCAAGAACATCTATAGAACAATAATTTCAATTATCATCAATTTCAGAGTCTATGTTCATTATGTATTAAATGTATAGAAGGGTCTGTTTTCAGAACTATCTTGTTCCATGATTCCATCTACTCTTGTACCTATACGATACTATTATTTTTATAATGTTTTAATATTTGGGGAAGAAAAGTCCCATTATTACTATTCTAAAAAAATAAGAAATCTCACCTATTTAGTTTTGTTTAATTTTATTTAAACTCTGGGGAGAAAAGGAAGAGAAAATGGAGTTTTCATATCTGTGTGGGATCTGGGTATATTTTCTCTTCAAGTAAATAGCATCCTGATTTTTTATTTTATGATTAATTTGTCAAGGTGTGTTAAAATAATGAGTTAACTGGGAAGAAACTGACCATTTGGAAGCATTCAACCTCCTCATTCTGGAGGAAGGCTCATCTCTCCTTTTGTTAGGCAAATAGAACACATACCTTTTCTGGAAGCTATGCCTTCAGATAAGAGCAGATGATAGCTGCTAGAGATATTTTACACTTTCTCAGGCTAAGAAAGACTCCTCTCACCTAAATATCTGAATTGGAATGTTGCTGATGGTCTTCCAAACTCAGTCAGAAACTGGAGTTTTCACTTCATGATAATATCTGAGAACTAGGAGTCAAAAAAAGAGAAAAAGCTGAAGAGAAAATTTCTGGAAGAAAAAACAAAGAAATCAAAGTTCAGATTTGTGCAGTTTGCAACCCAAAGGAGGTGAGCTGGGGAATATTTAACAAACCCTCAACAATTTTTTTAAATGAAATTGAAGTATGTTCTAAGTACTGTTTTGTGGAAATTTGTGTAACACGTGGATGTGTGTGTGTGTGTGTGTGTGTGTGTGTGTGTGTGCTGGATCTGAATCAAAGATAAAAATGAATTTCTGACCATGATAAGGTTTATCCTATCAGGGGTACCAAGGCATTTTTCTAAACTGAACAACATAAATGATTATGTTTCCAATCCATTTAAAAAAAAATGTTTCCCCTATTTCCAACTTATATTTTTATGACTTGGAGGATAGGCTATTTTCATGTTTCATGAGAGAAAAATATCTTCATTCTTTCATCCCATGCTTAAGAGAGTCCCCATATCTAGGCTAGCAGCCATGGTCTCAGAATAGATAGGGGCCAAATTCATCAGGATGTTGTTTATGAGAGAATGTGCCAGCTCCCACACAGATTTCATTTTCTCTTTTCTCCCAAGAGTTTAAAAATAAAAGTGCCAGGCACATAGTAAGCCTATTCAAGGTATGCGTATTGTGACATTGTTCTACCAGGGCTCAAACTTTTTTACCCAAATAAGCTCAGAAGATGCTTGTGCTTTTTTTACTCTGAGCCAGTGGAACAGACACAAGAAGGCTCCTACCTGATTCGTTGTATTCATTCTATGGTGTACTCTTGCTACTTATTTTTTAATACCTTCGTGAAACGGCATCATCTTCTTACTAAGGCTAATTCTAGCTAATCTCCATCGTGCCCAAATGCATTATAAGCCAGTCTAAATAATTTAAGTTATAAGCTTTGCAAATGGAGACCACAGATAGTTATAACTGTACTGTCCCCTGCACCATGCTCACTCTCCCCAAGCGAATTTTAATCTAAAGAATTTTGAATACATACGCTTAACATGAAAATTTTTTGTAAAGATCCTAGTATGTGTATTGTCTTTAATGTCCACAGGCTTAGAGAACAAATAATTTGCCTGTAAAGACCTATAGAGTGACTGGAATATTATAAATTAAGATAACAGTATATAAACAAAATTAGATATTAATAGCCCTGTAAACTCAGAGATCTTAATATTCTTCTGGCCCTACTAATTTATCTCCAAATATTAGAGAAATCAATCTGGTAGATCTATTCAGTGTGGTGACTAGGGTTTGGGAAAATTAAGGAGTATTGGTAATCAAGAGCTAACCGTATCAAACTGCAGTCTATGTCAAACCTTATTAAATATGACTTGGAAATAATCACATTTATTTATTATTAATCAGATGCTTGATAAACACATATGTTTCCTATCCAGGATTTCTCTCAACCACAAAAAAATTAGTGCCTTAATTAATGCATCAGGAGGTTGCATTGTTACCCATATTTATATAAACTAAGTTTCATAAAAACTGTTTTGAAGAACCTGTTGAATTTTCTGAGGAATTCCTTAGCACAGTGCTATTTTTCCACTTGTAAAGTAAGATTCATGGTCAAATGCACACAGACAGCAGATATTTTTCAAAATTTTTAGTGAGGATTTACGACTTTATTTTTCAGAGACTGTATCTGAAATATGGCTCAGAGTGACTTCTATCCAGAAAACCCACGGAGAAGGCAAGAAGTAAACCGTCTTCACCAGCACCTACTTGGTTGCCTATCTGATAGCTTCCATGCCACCAATAAGCTGATTGAGGTTTTAAACATACGCTTGGGGTGCAAGCTGACCTCCATTGAGATGAAAAGAGATGGGACCATCAAAGAAAACTGTGGTATCATCATCCAAGCCATGATGAAAATCCAAAAGGAATTGCAAAAGGTTGATGAAGCCCAGAAGATAAACTAGAGCCAACCCTCTACAGAAAACTTCAAGATATTAAAGAAAAGGAAACAGAGAAAATTGCAATAGCACAAAAGGTCATTTCAGTCATCCTGGGAGAAGCTACTTCTGCAGCCAGTGCAGTCGCTGTTAAACTTGTAGGCTCAAATGTCACAACTGGCATCATTAACAAGTTGGTCACTGTGTTAGCTCAAATTGGTGCTTCTCTCCTTGGTAGTATAGGAGTTGCTGTTCTTGGCCTTGGCATAGATATGATATTCCGTGCCATCCTGGGAGCAGTGGAGAAAACACAGCTTCAAGCAGCCATTAAAAGTTACGAGACGCATCTGGTGGAATTCAAGTCAGCTTCAGAAAAATATCATCATGCCATTACTGAGGTCACCAACACAGTGAAACAGCAAATGAAATGAACAGCCACTGTGCCCCTGGAATATTTTTCTACTTCTCAATACAGTGTTTTGCTCCTTTGATTAGGTTCATTTTCTGGACGTTTCCAACATGGACAGAAATACAGTTAACAACTTGGAAAGATGTTTTAAGAGAGGCTAAAATCAGATGACTCCAGAGTTTTGTATCAACAACAAATGCCTACATTGGTTGGTGCTAGAGGTAAAAGATTATATCCCAGGATGCTTCTTACTTTGCTCTACCAGATCAACTTTAGGTTAAATGCTATGGGTGTGGGGATTACCTTTCCCTTTTCTAACTCCCCAAATCATTAAAATTTAAGTTGAATGAGGAGAGTTTTATTTCTACCACTAGCTTCAGACATCATTTAGTACTAAGGGGATGTACTTAGTAACTTCTGCCTAGACACTAACTGTGGACTTTGGGTGAAATAGAAATACTACCATAATTTTGACCCTCAGTTTTTAAGGCTAATTTTTAATAAACTAGGAGACACTGACATATGGGTTGTAACAATTTACTTCAGTGATAAAAGGACACAATGGTTCTGTAACTTCTACTAATTACACCTTATAAATTTGAATGGATTTTTTAAGAGATAAAAGTTAAAACTAAAAAGATAAAGGTTCTGTTTCTGTCATTGCAATCAACCCTGGCCAACTGTGGTGCGATGATTAAATAACCCTCATTGTGAATGTTTGAACACTCTGGGACATTGAAAAAAAAAACAAACATGCAGATCCCATCTACACGTGCATAAAACGTGTTTAGGATACAGGGAGAAGTTGTTACTCTTTTAGGAATTTGCCATTTAAAGGAGAGCTGTAATTTATTACCTCACGAGTTTTCAGAAAAATGACATTTCATTTTCTACAACAGCAGAATAAAGGAAGCTGTTTCTGCTTCATAAAACTTCAGGTGGCCCATTTCATTAATTACCTGATTTCAGGAAAACCCAGAGGCTAAGGAGGCCTAATGGTCCAGCTAATATCTGCACACACAAGTGTTTTCTAAATCCTTCACCGACTAATAACTTCCCATTGTGACTCTTAGCTTCTACTTACAAAATCATTAATAAGTTGCTGGTGCAAGAATGTGTTTGTTACAGCTGATTCTTGCATCCAAGTACAAGAAATGTCTCGAAGTTCTAAAAGCTCAGTGTGTCTCAAAAACTAAAAATCTAGATGAAAGACCAACTTTTCAGATGCACTGTTCATTTTTCTCTTCTGTCACTGCTTCTCAAAATTAGTCGGACAACTAAAGTAGTTCACCTTCAAAATTAAGTTTGATTTTTATTTTATTTATTTTTTATTACCTAACTTACAACTTCTACTAAACTGCAAGACCATGTTATTGCTCTTTCTGGGACTCAAGATTCGGCCTAAAACCAAATCAAGAATTTGCTAAGACAAAGGCTAGTGTAGGTAAGGAGCTGATTACAAACGTTTAAGTGCACCACGTAAATATTCTGCTGTTAAAAACCAACGTGTTATCTCCTTCGGTAGTTTGGAGTGTTTATAATGGGTACTTAAGAACTGACCTCGGCCTCCCATATTTTCCTATAAGGGATATTAAGATCAGCGATAACAAAGGGTATCTCTTAGGAGTCAAATTTGTTAAGTGTTTAAACTTACCCTTAAGGGGAAGGGGGGGTGGGTAAGAGTCGTGGACAGAAGGAAGAGGACGATGACTGCACCTAAGTGATAATCCGCACACAGGTACAGTGATATCATAAAGGACTCCTAGCTGGTGTGAAGACCGAAAGGCAGACGCCAGGACCCATCAGCCTCGTCGCTCATAAATCTAAAACCTGCACACGTATCCCATTTCCACCTCAAAAAAAATAATAATAAAAAAACAAACAAACAAACAAAAACCCTTATTGTAGATTAATCTATCGTTCACGAACAATCTGGGACTTTCACACGGGCACTGATGACTCATTCGCTCAGGTCTACAAACGATCTGTCGTGCCTATACACTTGGGAACGGCCGTGATGGTAGCAAAGCGCAACAGGCACACTAGCAAACGTTACTCAGGGATCCGTTTTCAGACAGACACTCTCAAGAGACCGCGCTTGCTTACATCATGAAAAGACAAAAAAAAAAAAAAAAAAAAAAACCCAAAAACCAACAAGTCCAGCCGACTGACTGCAAAACAGCACCCCGGCCCGAAAAGGCCGGTATCCCGCACAGCGGTAACAAGAGCTTCCGGAAGTTAAGTCCAACCGTCTGGGTCGGAGAGGCCAAGTAGTCCTCTCATCAGCCAATCACCTGCCCGACCCGCTAGGTTTTTCTTTCTATTGGTCTAAAGAAGTGTCAATCACTGCGGTTCTGCGCCATGAGGGCGGGCCCTTAGCACAGAATCAACCAATACGGTGTGATGCGGAGCAGAAGAGACTCTGGTCCTGGGGGTCTTGGTTCCTTAGCGAGAAACGCTAAGATCCTGGATCCTTAGGAATAGGAAGTGAGGTAGGGATGGCGGAGGGGCGCGAAGTTTCAAGATGGCGGTGGCTGGGGGGCTGGGGGGTTTTAAGATGGCTGAGGGGAAGGCCCCTACGAAGTAGAAGAGGCCGAGAATCGTTCCCTCCCCGCTTCTCGCAGTCCCAGGGACCCAGCAGAAGTGTGAGTGTGCAGGGTTGTCTCACTCCGTTTCTCCATCTTTCTTTCCCGTCTCGGCCCCGGGCCCTGCGGCTGCCTCGGGGACCCCAGGCCCCTCTGCCCGGTTCTTCCCCTCCGCGGTGTGGGTCTCCCGGGCCGGGCCGGGGGATCCTGGAGCCCGAGCGGTGCGGCTTCTAGCGTGAGTCGCTTAGCGCCTCTCTTGCCGGCCCGTTGGCGGGTTGCTTTAATTTTTTTTTTATTTATTTATGATAGTCACAGAGAGAGAGAGAGAGAGAGAGAGAGAGGCAGAGACCCAGGCAGAGGGAGAAGCAGGCTCCACGCACCGGGAGCCCGACGCGGGACTCGATCCCGGGTCTCCAGGATCGCGCCCCGGGCCAAAGGCAGGCGCCAAACCGCTGCGCCACCCAGGGACCCCGGGTTGCTTTAGATTTGACGCCTTCGTGGACCTCGAGTCAGGATCACCCGTCCCTATGGTTTTGGCAGGTGCTGGTGCCGTTGTCTCTCTGGGTGGACCTGGGCCCAGTCCCGCTTGAACCCCGGCCTCTTCGGTTCAGTATAGGGGTTCCCCCCGCCCCGCCACGGTTCTGTGGCGCGATTTCCTTATCGTTTCTCTTTTAGACAAAAAGCGGTTTGTGCAGACTAGGGCTGCATTGTCTCCTGTAGAAATTCTTCTAATTCCCACCCGTTTTTTTGTTTCACCTGTGGGAGAGGAGGGTCAGAACGGTAGCCCGAGGGGAATTGAGAGAGGACAGCAAGGAAGATCACAGGCCATCAAAAAAAAAAAAAAGAAGAAGAAGAAGAAGAAGAAGAAGAAGAAGAAGAAGAAGAAGAAGAAGAAGAAGAAGAAGAAGAAGAAGAAGAAGAAGAAAGAAGAAGAAGAAGAAGAAGAAGAAGAAGAAGAAGGAAGAAGAAGAAGGAAGAAGAAGAAGAAGAAGAAGAAGAAAAGAGAAGAAGAAGAAGAAGAAGGAAGAAGAAGAAGAAGAAGAAAAGAGAAGAAGAAGAAGAAGAAGGAGAAGAAGAAGAAAAGAGAAGAAGAAGAAAGAAGAAGAAGAGAGGCCGTATTTATATTAATTTTGCTTGTTTCCGCCTGCCTTCTCACCTTCTCCCACTTTTTCTGAGAAGGAAACCCTGGACAGGGTCAGTTAGTTGCCACTGGAACAGCTCTGGAGCATTTAGCAGAAATGAAGGCATTTGAGGACTTGCTGAAAGAGGCGTTAACTAATGAACTTTTCTGACAAAATCTTCAAGGAAGAAGGGAGGGTATTATGATTAATTGTGTGGGCTACTGGAAAAATTGACGTCATGATCGTCCCTTTCACACCCTTTAAAAGTCTACTTTAAAGGGGGTGAATTTGTCAACTTTATTATTGGAAAAGAGTAAGTCATGACTCAAACACAGTCATCCCTTTCGGTTACCATAAAAAAAAAAAATAGAAGTCAGGAGTCAAGTAGGTGCTAGTAGAATAGTTCATGTCTTGACGTTTTTGGACACTTCTTCGTGTAATACTTTCATTTTTAATATTTGCACTCTTAGTTACATTGTTGTTTGCTCTTGTGAGTCAAAAATTACATGTGAATTAGAACTAAATCTGAATTAGATTAGATCTCTCTCTCCATGGGGAGAGACAAGGGAGACATTTGTTGTTGAACCCAGATCATTACCCCATTCCCTTTTTATTCCTCTTTCACCCTACATAAAATCAAGGGGAGGGTGTAGGAAAAGGACTAATGGCATTTCATATTCATCTATATATTCATATTCATATAGGTTTATCCTATATTAAAGCGGTTCGTGATTTTTTTTTTTTCGATTTCAGAATTAGTCCATGATCCATTAAAAAAAGTTAACAATCAAAGGAGTGTTACTTTTTAGGACACATGGGTGGCTTAGTGGTTGAGCATCTGCCTTTGGCTCAAGGCGTGATCCCCCCGGGTCCTGGGATCAAGTCCCTGCATCAGGCTCCCCCAGGGAGCCTGCTTCTTCCTCTGCCTATGTCTCTGTCTCTCTCTCTTTGTGTCTCATGAATAAATAAATAAATAAAACCTTTAAAAAAAACAAAAGGAATGTTACTTTTCAAGAGATTGGTAGAAAGAAATTTTGTAATATAAGAAGGAAGATATTTTGTAATTATCAGAAGAATAAACTCTGTCTTTGTCTTTGCAGGGTTTTTTTTGTTTTTAATGAGCCAGGTAAACCATATAAGTTGTCAACATGGGACGGAGATCTACATCATCCACCAAGAGTGGAAAATTTATGAACCCCACAGACCAAGCCCGTAAGTGTCCATTGGTGTGGAATGATAAAGAAGAGGAGTGATAAAAATTGCAAGCACTGGAGAATCTATTATGTCTTAATTATAAAATCAGCATTGCTAGGAGTCAGTTGTATAAAGTTATCCAGTGTTGTAGGCACATGATGAAACCTTTAAACATGCAAAAAAATTAATACTCATACTTTTAATTTGATTGACTTGCCAAGTATAATTGGCTTGAAACTTTCTTTTTGTATTTGAAATTTTGGACAGACTAGTGTTGAGAAACTTAAAGCAAAAAATCTCTTAAGATTTTGGTTGATATAATTAAAGGTTGCTATTGGCATCTAGTGGGTAGAGACCATAGATGCTGCTAAATACACTGCAATGCACAGGATAGCCTCCCACATTAATTATTATTTGTATTAAATTAGAGAAAATGCTAGTGTTCAGGATTTGAAAGTTTTATATTTTCTCTGTCTCTCTCAAGGAAAAGAAGCACGGAAGAGAGAATTAAAGAAGGTATGATTTCAGAAGCATCCTATTACCCCTAAGTGACGTTTCGCACATCTTATTATTTGGGATTAGTGGATTTCAAAACAACATTTACAATTATTTGTCAGAAAAGATACTTTATGCTTCTTATAACAAACAATAAAATTTACTAAGGCAAAATACTGTACTTGGAAACTGAACTGAAATAACTTTACAGATAAGCTCATGATATCCTAATATTGTATATTTTATTATCTTTCCCACTGAGTTAAATAGATATCTTTGAAAGGATTTTTTTTTGCGCTATTAAAGCATACTACTTTGTTAAAAGCTACTGATTTAGTGAGTGAAAATAAATGTGATTCTGAGTAGCTTTGTGGGTTCATTTTCCTTATTATGTACCTATTGAGTTTGTGGCAAAGTGTTTTCCCAGAATAAGACAGTATTTGCTTTATAGTGTCATTCTTTAATACCTGAAAGAATACAGATTTTTAATAGTTTTTAATTGAACTTTTCCTATTGCCGTGGTTAGCATCAAATCCTGTAAAACTTTTCTCTAGTATATATAGTTTTAGAATTTAGCCCAAAAAAATCTTAAATTTTTTAAGTAATTGCTAAAGATCTCACAAAATTAAAAGAACTCTTTGCCTTAGAAAGCACATGTACTAAATAGTGATTATCTTTTTGTCTAAAGTTGAAACGTTTTTTTGAGAGCCAAAAATGACATGGCTTTGTTATGGTGGTTGAAACAAGTGACCAGAAATCAAGAAGTTCAACTCAATTTAAATAGATTCTTGATGCAAATTGAAGTAGAATTTCAGGAAGGTCCAATTTTTTTAACACAGTGCTCTTTTTTTTTTTCCTAAGAACAAAAAACAGCGCATGATAGTACGAGCTGCAGTTTTGAAGATGAAGGATCCCAAACAGATTATCCAGGACATGGAGAAATTGGATGAAATGGGTAAGAGTTTATTTTAAAAGGCTAGATTTTAGAGCAGAGGTATAGTCTGATACACAGAGGCAGGCAAACAGGTAATGAGTAAAGCAGCACAGATACAAGAAAAACAGAAAAGCATGATGACATTTGTCACTTTGGGTTTAGTTTTAGCATCAGAAAAACAATGGAATGATGGGGAGCAGTTGCACACTGGGGATCTCCTCTGGAGTAAGATGGATGCTGTTATTTAGCTTGAACTAGTTGTTGAGAGAAGACTGAAATCTGGAGTTTTTAATTTTTTTAATGTTGGCAACTACCATGTAAATCTAAATATTAGGCTACCATGAATTTATCAGTTCCCCGTTTTTTCCAGTGAGAAGATAAGACACTTGACCCACTAAGTAAGGTGGTAGAAGAATCGTGAACTACTTAAAATCTAATTTTATAGAATATCATATATATCGTTAGGATATCTCATTTTTTCACATTTTTTTGAATGATTTTACTTAATTTCTTCACATACATCTTCAGTATCACTACTTTTTGTCATAACTGGAATCACACAAGATAATCCTTGCCTCCAAGTTGCTTCAGAATTCTCTGTGTGATGTTCCCATAGGAAATTTTATTGCAACCCGTCTAATATTTTTAATATTAGAACATGAGATTTTTAATTGTTTTGCATCCTGCTCCTTTTTTTTGCATAATGAAATGATCTTGACAAGATTTGTTTTCAAAGGTACTCAGTTTAAGTGGTTTGCCAAAGATCAGATAGTAGGTGAAAAAGGTACAGTGGATCTCAATAATACATTAAATGGGTTGAAAAAAAAAAAAATCCAGGGGTGCCTGAGTGGCTCAATGGGTTAAGCATCTGCTTTTGGCTCGGGTCATGATCCCAGGGTCCTGGGAGTGGACCCCATAATGAGCTCTCTGCTCAGCAGGGAGCCTGCTTCTCCCTCTGCCTCTGCCTGCTGCTCCCCCAGCTTGTGCCCCCTCCCCCATCAAATAAATAAATAATCTTTAAAAATAAAAAAGTCCAGTTATGTGGGGTTATGGTATTAGAGGTTCCTTTAATAATGTAACGTAGCTTGTGCATTTAGCCTGGGCTAAATTAAAATTTATTTAATAATTAGTTCTGGATCAGATTGCTTGATCCCAAATCTTTCCCAGTTCAGCTCTAACTGATCCCATTTGTTGCCTCTGGTTTAAATATTACTGTGGGCAATTGTTATCCCTAGAGTGTCAAGACATGAAATGACCTATTAAATTCAGATTGATTTATGTGGTTTTAAAAGGAGATAATAGTAGTAATGGAGGTTTATTGAGCTCTTATTTTGCTATGCACCAGTTTTTTCCATATGCTATTTAATCCTTAAAACAACTTTCAGGTAGGTGTATTAACCTATTTTATGGATGAGGAAACTCAGGCACAGAGAGATTGTATACTTTTCTCAATGTCACGCTATTAGGAAGTAGCAAACTGGGATTAAAACTCAGGCATTCAACACTTTCATTAATCACACCAAGAATAGTGTATGTTGTAAGACTATTCTCTTCTGAATAAATCACCTAGGTTAAAAGGATTTAGGGAAGAAGATAATTAAACTTGTTATCTGTTTAAAAAAAAAGGAAAAGGGAGAAGGGAATACTGTTGAGGGCTCAGTGCAAACTAGTTTAGGCAGAAGAAATACATAGATTGACTCCCATAATTGGGAAATCCCAGAGGGAAGCCTTCCTAGAAAACACAGGTATGGTTATTGAGACGGTTCATCTGCCTGGTCTACTCTCTTGTTAGCTTCATTCAGCATATTGCTAATGAACTGCTTGGGATGGGAAGTAAGAATATGTGCTTGGAACTGGTGGGAGACAAGGTTATAACTCTAGGTTTATTTTATCCCTCCTGTAAAGGAGCGTCACACTCTCACTTTCACAAAGTCTCAGAGAATGATCTGGTTTCAACTTGAATCATGTGCCAGTTGATCTCTGAGTCAGTCACTGGTGAGGACAACAGAGGGAGGCACGTATAATTGACCAGGCAAGCTCAGGAGTCTTGTGCTAATAATCCTTTTTGGGGTAAAAGACCTGAAATTAAGCTCCCTGTTGAACACATGGAAAGAGAAGGAATTATATGGTAGTTAGACAATATCAGTCTGTTATAAAAATAATTAAGCTGCAAGCTAAACACCACAGGATATTTTGTGATCACTTAGTCATCAAAGCTTTGTTGTGAGTAGTTGATGTCCACATTTTCCAGATGAAGAAGCTAAACATAAGAGAATTCAAGTGCCTAAGATCTCAGAATTAAGTGACATAATTAATCTGTCTGGCTGAAGCCTCACTATACTATAGCAAGTTGTTAGCATAAATAAAAATTTATTTTTATGTAATTTTTATTACATAAAAATTTACAGTAATGATGAAAATCAACTAATTAGGATGACATTAGACTTAGAAAAGAAAGTAAAATTAATGGCTATCTTAAAGGGGTGTAATTTAAAAAAAAATACCTATTACACTTCTTTTTAATAAAATTTTAAATTTTATTAAATAAAATTTAATTTAATAAAATTTAAGATATAAATCCCTGTTAAAAGCTTTATCATAGGGATCCCTGGGTGGCGCAGCGGTTTGGCGCCTGCCTTTGGCCCAGGGCGCGATCCTGGAGACCCGGGATCGAATCCCATGTCGGGCTTCCGGTGCATGGAGCCTGCTTCTCCCTCTGCCTGTGTCTCTGCCTCTCTCTCTCTCTCTCTCTCTCTCTCTCTCTCTCTGTGACTATCATAAATAAATAAAAAAATTTTTTTTAAAAATGCTTTATCATATAAGGAGATTTTATGGGGCAGCCTGGGTGGCTTAGCGGTTTAGCACTGCCTTCAGCCCAGAGCGTGATTCTGGAGACCTGGGATTGAGTCCCACGTTGGGCCCTCTGCATAGAGCCTGCTTCTCTTCCTGCCTATGTCTCTGCCTCTCTCTCTGTGTCTCTCATGAATAAATAAGTAAAATCGTAAAGGAGATTTTATTAAGTGATATAGCTAGTTGATACCTAAACGAAGTGACTCTTTGTTTTGAATCTCAGTATCTGCTCTTTTCTTTCAGAGTTCAACCCAGTGCAGCAACCACAGTTAAATGGGAAGGTGCTGAAAGTCAAGCGTAAAAAGCTGCGTGAAACCTTTGAACGTATTCTACGACTCTATGAAAAAGAGAATCCGGACATTTACGAAGAATTGAGAAAGCTAGAAGTGGAATATGAACAGAAGAGGGCTCAACTTAGCCAATATTTTGATGCTGTCAAGGTAATCAAGTTTCTCTAGAGAGGTAAACTAAAATGTTATATTTAGATTTGCTTTTTAAATTGTTAATGGGAGAATTGGTCATGATGGACTTCTTCCTCTTGGCAATTTCCTATCATATAAACTTCATCATGGCAATTTCTTGTAAAACTATCTCATGAACCAACCAATCTTAGTGATGTATATTTATACAAGAGAAATTAATCCATCTGCCAGTATAGTAATAGCCAAAAACTGGAAATAGCCCAGATGTCCATTAATAGGAAAATGAATAAACAACCTAGAATATTTATAAAATTGAATGTACTCAGCAATATAAAGAAATGCTCTACTGATACTCAAAACAACAGGAATTAAGAAAAAAATTTAATGGATAAATCTCAAAGCATGTTGAATTTCTATCATAGTTAGGATTCCATTTGTATGAAATTGTAGGACCAGCAGAATTAATCTATGAATGAAAGCGTTTGTAACGGTGGTTGCTTTGGGATAGTGTTAGGGATGATTGAGAAGAAATGTGAACTAGACGCATTTGTCAAAACTCAGAATTTAATTTCACTGGGAGTTTTGTCTCAAAAATGTAAAAAACCCAAATGGTATAATTTTTGCAAAGCAGGTAGTATAGGTCCCCTTTTACAGATAAGGAAACCAAGGAACTTGCTTAGTCGTACATCTAGTATGTGGCAGAAATCCAACAAAGACTAATTTTAGAAACCCAAGCTCTACCATTGGATATATAGTATTTATAAGTTTATTGATAGTGTTATTTATCATACAGAATATTTAAAAGGATGGCTTTGGTGCTAGATACTTTTTTTAATTTTTATTTATTTATGATAGTCACACACACACACACAGAGAGAGAGAGAGAGAGAGAGGCAGAGACCTAGGCAGAGGGAGAAGCAGGCTCCATGCACCGGGAGCCCGACGTGGGATTAGATCCCGGGTCTCCAGGATCACGCCCTGGGCCAAAGGCAGGCGCCAAACCGCTGCGCCACCCAGGGATCCCGGTGCTAGATACTTTTAACAGTTAACCATAACCCAAAAGGATAAGTTAATAATAAGGGAGAAAAACAGCTGAGTTTTGTTTCTTTTAAAGGTGATAGAGATTCTTTCCATTCATCAACAGACTTTGGAAATGTTGACAAACACTTATATTCTTGTTTTTCCTGATACTTAATGTTAGGTAGAAAGCAAATCCAGGTTATGAAACAGCAGATACTGAATTTTAACTGTTGAGTTTGTGGGTTGCTCTTATACTATTGAAAGATTTTTCTCTGTTTCAGAATGCTCAGCATGTGGAAGTGGAGAGTATTCCCTTGCCAGATATGCCACATGCTCCTTCCAACATCTTGATCCAGGACATTTCACTTCCTGGTGCCCAGCCACGCTCCATCCTTAAAAAGACCTCAGCCTATGGGTGAGGAAGCAGTAGCATAATTAAATAATATTTATTAAAAGTACCTTTTGACTGTCCACTGCCAAAATTATTGCAGTGGGAATTAAAAGGCAATGGGAATGTAAGCAGTGCCTTACTTGATTAAATGTGAGGTAAGAAATCCCTTGAAGTTTGGCGCCTGCCTTTGGCCCAGGGCATGATCCTGGAGACCCGGGATCGAATCCCATATCGGGCTCCCAGTGCATGAAGTCTGCTTCTCCCTCTGCCTGTGTCTCTGCCTCTCTCTTTCTCTCTCTGTGACTGTCATAAAATAAAAAAAAATTAAAAAAAAAGAAATCCCTTGAAAATATTTTAGAAGAAGAAATAAATATTAATGTGATTACTGTAAAATTTTCTTTTTTAAAAAAATTTTATTTTATTTTTTTTAATAAATTAATTTTTATTGGTGTTCGATTTACCAACATACAGAATAACACCCAGTGCTCATCCCGTCAAGTGTCTCCTTCAGTGCCCGTCACCCATTCACCCCCCACCCTGTAAAATTTTCTTTACAGACCTCCAACACGGGCAGTTTCTATACTTGGACATGGTGTGCCACGTTTGCCCCCTGGTAGAAAACCTCCTGGTCCTCCCCCTGGTCCACCACCTCCTCAAGTCTTGCAAACGTATGGCCGTAAAGTGGTCTTTGCCCTAGATCTTCCCCCTCGCAGGCGGGATGAAGACATGTTATATAGCCCAGAACTTGGTAAGGAGTGACTGTTCCTTTTGCTCTTGCAGCTTTTCCACTGTCATTTTTTTATGTTGGTCCTGTTTAACATCTTGTTCACCATCCTCAGAACTTAGGAGATAAATCATGATTACATATACTTACTAACAGATGGATAAATCATAGAATTTACCCAAGAAAAACCAACACACATTAGGAAGTACAGAAATATTTATTGTGTTTTAAATTAGGCTTTTTTTTTTGAGATTCCTTAAGCCTTGGATACCTGTTTCCTTTTCAGTTTTATTGCTATCATACCAGAGCATAGTTGTATATAGTCACTGGTGTGTGTGTGTGTGTGTGTGTGTGTGTGTGTGTGTGTGTGTGTGTACCAGTTTCTAAGTAGAATTTGTTTTCAAATTTAAACTTTTTAAAAAATATTTTACATTATCAAAAAAGATTTTAAAACTATTACCAAACGGAAATATTGTCAGACTATATGAAGAACTATTACATACAGAGTCATTTTAAATAATGAAGCTATTCTGAGTTAGCACAGTTTTCTGTGCTTTGGAAACCATGAAGTGGAGGATCCAGTCATCTTACATGTTTCCTGCTCCCTTCTCCCTTTTCAGCTCAACGGGGTCATGATGATGATGTTTCCAGCACCAGTGAAGATGACGGATATCCTGGGGACATGGATCAAGATAAGCATGATGACAGTACTGATGACAGCACTGATGACAGCGACACTGACAGGTCAGATGGAGAAAGTGAAGGGGATAAATTTGTGCACCGTGATGATAACGAGAGAGACAACAATGAAGAAAAGAAGTCAGGTATGTGCAAATGAAAGTTCATGGTATTGATAGTAGCAGACAAGATGAAGGTCCTGATTTATTAGTGTATCTGTGAAAGTAATTGTGAGCACCTTGAAAAGAAGGGTCATAGTTTTATTCATCTTTATATCAAAAAACTCAAAAGTTCATGATACATAGTCCTCAGTGGACATTTGTGAGGGGAAAAAAGTTAAGCAGAGTATGTGATAAAGAAGTCTATGTAATAAAGTTCACTGTGAGAGAAAAAGAGCTATTCAACAGCATACAGATGGGCTCTTGTGGGTCTGTATAGGAACAAAAGAATAACCATGTAACTATTTTGATTGAGAAAGCCATATTCATATCATTGGGGTTTTTTTGGTAAGTCTGCTTAAATATTTTTTTAAGGTTTTATTTATTTATTCATGAGAGACAGAGAGAGAGAGAGAGAGAGAGAGGGGGGGGGGCAGAGATACAGGCAGAGGGAGAAGCAGGCTCCATGCAGGGAACCCAATGTGGGACTTGATCCTGGGACTCCAGGATCACGCCCTGGGCCAAAGGCAGGTGCTAAATCGCTGAGCCATCCAGGGATTCCCCCTACTTAAATGTTTTTATCTGGAGCCATTTAAATTTCTGTGTTCATTTCGTCTCACATCAACCAGACCATCATTATAATTCTGGTACACCTCCAGGTAGACTCATGATTTAATGGAAGTACCCATAATATATGATATATGTCCATTTGATTATTATAAAATCAAACTGAGTTATGTGTACTTTTAAAAAGTAGTTAAGGCATTCATCAAGATAAGTTTAAGCATCATGATAGATACTGAGCAATATAAAATGTATAATCTGCCACACCTCTGCAGTCTTTGAGTTTCTTTTAAAATTATTTTTGTCAGAGGACCTGCATGGCTCAGTGGGTTAAGCATCTGACTCTTAATTTCAGCCCAGGTCATGATCTCAGGATTGTGGGATCAAGGCCAGCCGCCTGTTCACACATGCAAGCGCTCACATGTGCTTGCTCTCTCTCTAAAATAAATAAGATCTTTTAAAAATAAATAAAAGCAAAATTGTTTTTGTAGTCTACAACAGCATATTTATGTATTTGTAATACTACTGATGTTCGTATTTGAAGTGATGACAAGTCTTTGATATTTCATAAGAATCGTGGTTGCAAACCAAAAAGCTGTCTTAAAAGGGGTGGATGGAGCTCATAACGAAAATTATAGACGACTTATATAGGAGCTAGTACTAGAAAGTACGGAGTTCTTAGAGCCACAGCAGCTTCATTTTTCTCTGGAATCGTGTGATCCTTTGCCTCATTTTTCTTTTTTTCTGCCAACTTGTTTTACTTTTACATACTTATCAATGGATGTGTGCTGAAAGTGGCTATCCTGTGATTTGACATTCAACTAAAATTTGAGTTTTTACTATATGTAAGGAATTTTCCTAGACCAACGATACAAAATAGATAAAACTAAAGCCCTGCCCACACGGAACTTTGTAAATGTTTACCAACTAAGACTGCTCCTAATTTCGTACCATTTAGCATGATGTTTAATTTAATAGTGTCTAGTGGATAGCCTGATTTGTCAGGTTAAAAAGGTGCTTTCTATTCCAAGTTTGCTAAGAATTTTTATTATAAATATTTTATAAGTGCCTGTTGAGATGTTAGGGATTTTAAGTTGTGTACTGTAATGAATTCTATTCATGGCTTTTCTAATGTTCAACCTTATTTTGCATTTCTCGGACCAACCCTATATGTTTATGATGTGTTTCTTTTAAAGCACTGTTGGATTCAATGTGGTTATAAAATTGGCCCTTGAACAACATGGGGGTTAGGAACACCGACCCTCTGCACAATCAAAAATCTGTGTATAACTTTGAGTCCGCCACAGTTAGCCTACTAATAGCCTATTGTTGACCAGATTTTTTACTGATAACATGAATAATCAATTAATACACGTTTTGTTGTTGCATGTATTATATACTACATTCTTACAATAAAGTAAGGTAGAGAATTTTTAAGGAAAATACACTCTCAGTACTATACCGTATCACAAAAAATCCACTGTGCAAGTACCCACTCCGTTCAAACCTGTGTTCAATGGTCAGTTGTATTTTACAATTGGTTAGTTTTGGTATCAAGGTTGTGCTAGCTTCATATGTTCTGGATTGCATTCCATCTTTTCTGTTCCCTTTTATAGGAAATTTCTGTAATTTAATGTTTGGCTGAACTTCTTTATAAAATTATTTGGGCCAGGTTAAAAATAGATTTTTAACTACCATTTCAGTTTTATATGTTGTAGTCTTACCACTTCTGTGGCCAATTTTTATAATTTTTATTTTTTTAAAGAAATGTCTGTTATCTGGGTGTTCAGTTTTACTGGCATAAAGATGTTAATAGTATTCTTTAAGTTTTTGAAATTTATAGATTTTAAATCACAATAACATGTTTACCACCAGTTGGCACTTCTTATACTTTCTTTTTATGACTGTTTTCTATACTTAACTTCTGCCAAATAGTGAGCAGCATCCTATCTAGTGCTTTATCACATTATATAGGAAACATTTGCTGAGTTTTGTTGTTCTAATCCACCCTATTCTCTCCCTCTACCCCTTAGGTCTGAGTGTAAGATTTGCAGATATGCCTGGAAAATCAAGGAAGAAAAAGAAGAACATGAAGGAGCTGACTCCTCTTCAAGCCATGATGCTTCAAATGGCAGGTAAGACAGGGAAAGAAGAGTGAAATCACCTTTTGGGTATTTCCTCCTGCCACTTCCTTTACATACATTTTCCTATTTAGTGTCTCAACAACTCTGAAGTAAGTAATAAATCCTTGTTTTTAAAAGTTAAGGTTTGGAGACATTTGGAGACTAAGCTGCCCAAAGTTACCCAGCTAGTAAGTGGTTAAACTGGCATTTAAATCCAGGTCTGTCTTGTTCTAAAGCCCAGGCTTGTTTCACTGCTCCAGTAGCATAGATGAGTAGAATACTATCTTGATTCCTTCACGTCTAAGTAGTTTATTAAAGAAGGCTAGTTACTTGTTAATTTTTAAAAAGCACTTGATTGAGCATGTGTCTGCAGGCTTTGCTATTTTGCAGGCTGTAGAAAATGAATCAACTCCATTTCACCTGGTTTAAAATTTCTTCTAGGTCAGAAAATCCCTGAGAAAGGACGAGAAGTAGAAGAATTTTCAGAGGATGATGACGAAGATGATTCTGATGATTCTGAAGCAGAAAAGCAATCACAGAAACAGCATAAAGAGGGATCTCTTTCTGACGGCACATCTACTACTTCTTCACAGCACCAAGCTCCCCCACAGTCTGTTCCTCCTTCTCAGATACAAGCACCTCCCATGCCAGGACCACCTCCTCTTGGACCACCACCTGCTCCACCTTTACGGCCACCTGGACCACCTACTGGCCTTCCTCCTGGACCACCTCCAGGTAAGTAAACACTGATATATTGTGAATAATTAACTAAGTCTACCTGTGATTAGAGTGACGAAGTCATTCCGAAAATATATATTAGTAGTGATGTTTTGTTTTTCCTAGTATAAGTCGCTAGGAGATAAAGGATAGTACAATTTACTTATTCCTATACCACTGTTCACAGTTCATAGTAGTTCTGACAGCCCTCTTTTCCTCCAAAGCTCTTCTCTTTGCAGGGTTCTGTAGCTCTGAGGTTAGCAGGCAGAAACAGGAGTATTGAACCTGGGGGTTTCTTTAGTACTGTTATTTTTAATGACAAGTTGACCCAATTCAAAATTGATAGCTAATGAGATTAGGGTACAGTAAATACCATCAGGCATCCTTCCTTGGTTGGGAATTGTTGGAAGTCAGTCTTTAGAGACAAAAGGGATCAGTATTAATATAATCTTTGGCATACAAGAATGAGAAGTTTGTTTTGAAGTTTGAACTTGGCAATTTATGATTTTATAGTCCTTCATCCTACAGTTGGCCAGTTAGGTTTTCTTCGCTTGAGTTCATCCCTTTTTGATTGGTGGTGCAAAGCACATTACCTCTCCTGTGTCATCTTCTGTCATCCTTGCCTACATATCTTCCTGTGTTTCAGGGGGAATGCTTAACGCATTCTGCTTTGTATTCCATTTTCAGCTTATTTTTGAACCCACTTAAAAATATTTTCCTCTTTGTTCAATTTCTAGCCCAGCAGAGCTGTGCTTTAAAAAAGCTATATTTTTTATCAGTACTGGGAAATAAAGAGAAATGATCCATAACAAGTTTAGCACTCTATCTCTGGTGCTCAGATATTTGTTGAGTGAATTCTTTTTCCACCTGTGTTTTGATCAGTTTTTGAAGTTACCTGATTTCAAGTTAAAATGCTAAGTCAGACCACATTCGAGTTATCTTTATACCAGTTACGACTTGGTATGTATTTCTCTTACATTAGTTTGTCATTTTTCTCTTTTCAGGAGCTCCTCCATTCCTGAGGCCCCCTGGAATGCCAGGACTCCGAGGGCCTTTACCCCGACTTTTGCCTCCAGGCCCACCACCAGGCCGACCCCCTGGCCCTCCCCCGGCTCCACCTCCAGGCCGACCCCCTGGCCCTCCCCCGGCTCCACCTCCAGGTCTTCCTCCTGGCCCTCCTCCTCAGGGACCCCCACCAAGGCTACCTCCCCCTGCACCTCCAGGTGAAGCTTTTAATTTCTACTACAAAAATTTAACTATTATATATTTCATTTGCTCTAAGACATATTTTCACATCTCAATATCCTGAAGTCAAAGCGTATCCTAAAATGATGTTTTTTAACAGCTTTTGGCCTGGGTTGAAGTTGAGTTCTTCCACAGAGTATTTGCACTGGATTCTCCTTGTCCTGTGAGGGGCTTTTCCCAGCCAGAGACCACTTGGGATTAAATTCTCCATTTGAGTAGTGTGTTTTGTGGGGGTGGGGGGCAATTGTAAAGTGATTCCATGTATTTCCATATATTTCTTAACTATATGTACCAACTTAAAGTTTGAAATTACAAGGCACATTTCCATGTGCTTTTATCATAGTGTACCAGTGTATTTCTGGTTTATTACACTGTCCCAGTCTAATGTGAAGGCCTCCTTTGAAGCTCCCCAGCTTGGACTCTCCATGGTATCTGGAATAATTATGAGTCTATATAAGCAATAGTATCTTAGGTTCCATGAAATTTGGCATTTTTATTCAGTCTTAAAAGTGGCGCTGACAATTTTTTAAACATGGGCAATTTACAGAAAACAAGCTGAAACTATGATGCTCAGGAATAGATTTTGATAGTAAGGAGTACTTTATTGTGAAATAGTATTCACTTTCAGTCTATACCCCTGTACTTAGGTTTTCTTCCTCTCTGAGTAATGTACTGTCTTACAATACAAAGTCGACAACACTAACTGGTTTCAAGTATGATTTCAACTCTGAAAGCCCAAGACTCTACTCTAGCTGTATACTAGACATGTTATCAAGGCCAAGGTTGGGAGTTACATTCTCATGCATTATTTACTGATTTCCACACCATTCCTCCCCTGAAAAAGGTAACCCAATGGCCAGGAAATGAAATTTTAAACATCAAAGGACATGAATGTAACTAATCATGGTATGTTACCACCAATGGAAAAGAATTCAAGTCCTTTGATGGTTCAGACAACACCACTGTCATTTACCCAAAATTGCAGATTTGATTTTCTTCATGGTGTTCACCTGCCTGTTTTCTCCTTCATTTAGGCATCCCTCCACCTCGTCCTGGCATGATGCGCCCACCTTTGGTGCCTCCACTTGGACCTGCCCCACCTGGGCTTTTCCCACCAGCTCCCTTGCCCACCCCGGGGGTTTTAAGTGCTCCACCCAACTTGATTCAGCGACCCAAGGCGGATGATACAAGCGCAGCCACCATTGAGAAGAAAGCCACAGCAATCATCAGTGCCAAGCCACAGATCACTAATCTCAAGGCAAAGATTACTCGATTCGTGCCCACGGCATTAAGGGTACGTCGGGAGAATAAAGAGGCTGCTGCTGCTCCCCAAAGAAAGTCAGAGGATGATTCTGCTGTGCCTCTTGCCAAAGCAGCTCCCAAATCTGGTCCATCTGTTCCTGTCTCCGTTCAGACCAAGGATGATGTTTATGAAGCTTTCATGAAAGAGATGGAAGGGCTACTGTGACACCTCTTAATGCCAGAGTGTTTCTGTTCATACCAGAGGTTGGTGGGGAAAGAGGCTTTTACTAAACTTAGTGAAAGAGCGACTTTCACTGTCAGGGTATTTTTAAATTTCAGTTCAAGGAATATCCTAAAGTTTAGCCTTGTTCAGAATTTATTGCATATAAGAGAGGATTATTTCATTTAGAATAAATTGGTTATTGAAGCAGTGCTGCTAACATCCATTCCCTTTCATACCACCGTTTTCATCCAGTTTGTTCCCCTTCTCCAATTTTTTGGAAACTTGTGATCGAGGGGATCTTGTTACTTATTTGTTTTGATTCTCTTCTTGTGTGCAGTGGGCACTGGAGTAGAGATTTCTGAAAAAAAACAGTTTATTTTACCCCATCTTGCCTTTTGTGTTTGAGTTATTTTAATATTTTCTTGTAAATATTTTGTAATATTTTAGTGAAATGGATCGCAATGTCATTTCCTAATACAAAGCAAGATATGTGGGAAGAAAATGTACAATTCTTTGATTAAAATTATTTCCCACTGACCTAAACTTTGAGTGTTTCGTGGAATAGATAAATAAATGTTCTACACCAAGATATCCTCTGTGTTACTGATGATATATAAATATGGTATCTGTGTTAGGGGCAGTAAAGAAGCAAGGATTTAAAAATCTCTGTTTTAAGGAACTGCCATTGCTGGTACAGAATAAGAATCTTATTGAAAATATTGTTAAAACTAAGTTTTAAATTTTAAGGGATAAAGAAAAGAATTATTTTCCTTCGGGATTATACTGGCTTTGGAGAAATTGAAAGGTTATTTACTGTATAGAACATGAATCTTCTCAAGGATTATTTACTTTTCCAGAGCTTTGTTAGCTTAGTGATGGGAAAAGCTTCTTTTAAACTGTGTCTAAATTATTAGATAGCTAGAGAAGGTGACTACTATTATTTTATTGAATTTGTCAGTTTTATGAGCTTTTATTATTAAAAGACAAAATGAAGAATGCTCAATATTGTTAATTTACATTGATATAATTTTCTTTAAAAAGTGCTTTAATAGCTAGTTCAGCTAGCCAGTAATCCTAATAATTTTCACAGATATTTTCTCCATCTTACAGATGAGAGTATTGAAGCTAAAGGAGTTGTGTGAATTAGCCAGTGGCCCAAAGTATGAATATTTTATGAACAAAGATACACACGCACAGTGAGACAATGTGTGCATTGAGTTTAGACTTAGACATACCTATTCTTACTTTGTATCTTAAATACCTGTCACATGAATCCCATGTCATCAAAAATTGGTAGTATCCTAAAAAAAATAGTACAATAATATGATAAGGCTTTTATTTTCTTGCAAGTGATTCCTTGATGGATTTTTAGATTTCTCTTCTGAGATCCTTTGTGTATGAAACTTTTCTTGGAAATTACTCTTTCAGATTAAAGCAAGTTGTCAAACCAGTCTATAGGTCATTTTGGATTTTTTCTTTTTTTAAGATTCTATTTGGGACTGTGAAAGCGCAAGCAGGGGGAGTAGCAGAGGGAGAGGGGGAAGCAGGCTCCTTTGTGAGCAGGGAGCCCGAGGTGGGGCTTGATCCCAGGGTGAAGGCAGATGCTTAACCCACCGAGCCACCCAGGTGCCCTGGGCTTTTTTTTTTTTTTTTCAGTATAGTCATTTAGTGTAACCAGTAAGTGAATTGAATATTTGATCATTTAGATGCTAAGATGGAACACCATTCTATCATCATTAAGTCAATATTATACTTTAAACAATTATTTGGTATTTGGTCTGTAATATTTTTAGCGTTCTTGCTTGAAGTTTATATTTTTTCTGAGATTTCTGTTTTCACATTTATTAGGCTGTTCAGTTTATCATAGTCATTTCCTAGTATCGCTGGTTTTATTTTCTGAAATGTCAGCTGTAAAATCTGGCACATTTTTATGTTACCTCTATTTGCAGGAAAGGGTAACCCGTTCAAAATTTGGATAGGTTCTGAGTCGGCATTTGTCATGATCATAATTCACCCTGTGATTTCAAAAAAATGCTTGGATCAATGTTAAGCTTGATAAAAATCTTTAATCAGATAATACGGATAAATACTGTTTCCTTCTCAGTGTCATTTTATTATACAATAATTGCCCCTTAAAGTCGTTTTCACAGCAGTCTGCCAAGGCATGGAATCCGCATAAAGCCTTAGATGACATCCAAAGGTCAGTTTAGTTTCGATTCTAATTTTTTTGCACATTCCAATTTGTGCCCTTTATAAAACATTGCTTTGTTTATACAGATTCGGGAGGTATTTTCTAATATTTTCTTAAACTCTTTTTTACTTCAAGTAATTCTTCAGGCCACAAGATGCCACAATCACCACCCCATATGGAACTGCACACTCATGTTTTGTCTTCTTTTTTTTCTTTCTTTTTTTTTTAATTTATTTATGATAGTCACAGAGAGAGAGAGAGAGAGAGAGGCAGAGACATAGGCAGATGGAGAAGCAGGCTCCATGCACCAGGAGCCCGATGTGGGGATTCGATCCTGGGCCTCCAGGGTCGGGCCCTGGGCCAAAGGCAGGCGCTAAACCGCTGCGCCACCCAGGGATCCCTCATGTTTTGTCTTCAATTCCAACTGCAGCAGGTCTAATACGTGGAAATGGTCATCCACCAGGATTGGTTTGGAGGACAGGCCTTGCAGCACTCCTGGAGTTAAAACCTTCACTGAGCAGAGCTGTACATAATTTCTATCCACCGAGTCCTGGGTTCAGGTATAAGTGAGCTGTGGGGAAATTTTTCTGTTCTTTACATTCCTTTAATTAAGAGCTTTTAGCAAAGGTCGGAGCTGGGACTTCTGTGAGACCAAAATAACTGTCTCCCTACCACAGTTCTCTTATTTCTAAGAATGCCTATGAGTGTGGCTGTGAAGGAAAGTAGATAGGACAGAGCAGGTGGCTAAGGACTGAGCAAGCACAGGGGTTTTGCTGGATCAGCATGTGCAAGTTTGCTGAGGCTTAAGATCAAGGAAGGAGGGACAGGTTGGAGAATGAAAAGAGTGATTGATGGAATGAGCTACCTGAGGGTTTGGGGAGGCATGCACATTATAAATTTCTGCAGATAGTCTCTGAGCTCCTACCGTGAGCTAGGTGCTGGGAAAACCGTGGCAAGCAAAATCAGATGTTCCTATCCTCGGGATCCTCATAGAAATTTCAAGAGATAAGCATCAACATCTATATACTTCCATCTCATACCTTGAATACAGTATTTACCAATGCTAATTTTTTTTAAGAATTTATTTTACTTAACCTGTGCTCATGAAAAATTTGGGAAAAAAATCTGACAGCTATTATATGCTATGTGCCAGTGAAGATATAATTCATCATACCTTTATAATCTTTTTATGCTTTAAAAGCCTTTAAAAGAAGCTTTTAAAAAAATGGAAATGTTGGGGATCCCTGGGTGGCTCAGCGGTTTAGTGTCTGCCTTCAGCTCAGGGTGTGATCCTGGAGTCCCGGGATCAAGTCCCACATCAGGCTCCCTGCATGGAGCCTGCTCCTCCCTCTGCCTGTGTCTCTGCCTCTGTGTGTGTGTGTGTTTCTCATGAATAAATTAAAAAAATCTTTAAAAAAAAGGTACAAACTTTAAAAAAAATGGAAATGTTTTCTCTAAAGGTTAGTAAATACTAAATATCAACAAATTACCTTAATTGTTACCTCCTTGCTGCTACCAAGGAGGAAACATGTTTAAAAAAAATAGGTTTGCAAACAAAAGACCACAGCTTCCCCAATACATGTTTTCCTTGACCTATTATCCTATTCAAACAGACCATTCCTCCTCATTAGGCATCGAAGCCTAAAAATAAGCTACTATTGCAATTTACCATACTGAATCCTTATTTAGTAAGAATTCTATCACATTTACCTGATAACTGATAAGTTAGGAGAATAAGTAGGAGAACTGATAAGTAGGAGAATTAACACTTTAAGAATACTGTTAAGAAAAAAAAATTAAGTGTTTTAAGGATTTGTATAGCAATATTGGGAAGGAAAATTAGGATCCAGTAGCATTTATATCATAGAATCTCAAGAAAAATTAGAGTCCAAGGGAAAAACAGAATTAACTCCATTATTACCACTGCACCCAGCAACCTTGACTCCAATAAAATGGGGAATGAGGTAAAAAAAGAAGGTAAGAGCCCAACTTCAGGCAGGGAGAGGGGGGGAAAACATGAATATAGCTCTGAAATCTTGTCTAATTTTATAAACTACTCTACCCATGAATGAAGAGTCCATGCTATTTTGAAACTTGGACTTTTTTCTGGGAGTTAATAAAGGTTGCCATAGTTAGGCATAACATACTGCAAACAAAACCCCAAACAAACAAAAAAACTCCATACCTTCAAATAATATTTGTTGGCTTTTTTGAGTGCTAAAGAGAATCAAAGTGCAAATAATGTAGAAATCCAGCATCTCCTGCAACCATTTGTACTGCTGAGTAACCCAGATCACAGGAGGGCCTATTTTAAAATCTATATTTGTACTCTGAGAATTTATTCATAACACGCATGTTTGAGAAAAAAACTTATGGTTAACATTAAAAAGTAAAGAATAACATGAAAATGCCACATTTCTGGAGAAAAATTAGAACAATTATTTAGATAGATGGATGACATGTTAATTTAGTTTTTTATTTTGTATTTTTATTTGTTTCTTCTTTCAACTAGAACAGGGATCAGCAAACTTTGTATAAAGGGCCAGATGGTAAATATTTTGGGCTTTGTGAGCCATAGAGTCTGTCACATTGACTCAATGCTGCCTTTGTAGTGTGAACTCTGCACTCCAGGCAGGTGGCCCGTCACACTCCCTGACCTCAAGGAAAGGACCACAAGAGATCCGCTCTGGGGGGTTGGCGTGAGAGGGAGTCTGGGCACTGCTAAAATCCAGAGGCCTGGAGAGTGTTTTCCCGGTGGGAGGCTGTAAGAAGGTAGTCCCCAGACTGAGTTGGGGCTGCCAGGTCACAGAGAGACCATGCATTGTGGACACGTGGCTGGGACAGATGGCCACCTGATGTCCTCACACCTCACTGCTTACCCACCACTACCACCAGCAGCCTGAGCCAGCAAGACATATCCCTTCCTCCTATGAAGTCGCTCCCATACCTTCTACTGAGAGAGACCAGCATACCTACCAAAATGGAAAAATTGTTAAAAGAACTCTGCCTCTTTTCACAGAGCAAGTACTGAAGTTAGAATGTGGAGCTCAGAGGAGGCAATAAATCCATAATTGACACATGTGAGTGTGAAGAAAACCCAGCCTTCTGTCACAACCTAGTCACAAAATTATTAGCACCGATTTCTCTGACAAAAACAAATGGAGTATTTCTCAAGCTGCTTCTTCCAGGCAACCGGTTAGGCACAGTTAGCTTATGTGCCCTAGCTAATGATAAAGGGTTTTTTAGGGAGTCATTTTTGTTCTTAAAAGATCTCAAGAGAACCCTGGTTGACTGGCAGTCTCCATGTCAAGAGTACATTAAATAAAACAAAGCTCAGAACT